AGCAGACAAGAGCCCAGGACTTAACACTCATTCTTCTGACAATCAGCCCACCCAGCAGAGCCCCTGGGCATCAGGGTGGCCACTTTCAGTCTCATGTTAGAGATCCACGGCCTCCTTTGTGCAGTTCCAGAAGCGGAGACCACAGGTCTTCGTGCTTCTTTCCTGGCACGTTTAGCGACCTTCAGTATTTACAGGGTTGTGTTGCTTTAAATTGCCCTCTCAGTCAGTTCCCTACCACTTAATTTGATTTAAATTTATACTGTGTTTTTTTCAATAACCAAACAAGGTAGAAAACATTGGTTCCCAAGCTCATTATTTGACCCTATTGTTAGAAATAGTCCTTCTGATAGAAAATGGTTTCTTTCCAGCCAAGGCTCTGAAATGGCCTCTCAAGGGCGGGAGCTGGCCAACCATTTCCAGAGCGAAGGGACCCCAGTGATGATCGGTAAGAGCTTGGGCCGTCCTGGGTTCTCTGGGTGGAGTGGAGGGCATGTAGACTTGTCGTTAATGTAAATGCTTAATGTCACATAAAATCAGTCATTTTTAAATATTTTAGAACTAGCTTTTATACCATTCATATGACCTCTGGATATTTATTTTAAAATTTCCAAGGCAGGAAGAAAATTACAAAAAAAAGATTATAGTAACCAGAAGTAAAGGCTAAGAAGAGAAATAACTGTTCAAATATTTAAAGAGTTGAGAGCAGTAAGGAAAAGAGGCGACAATCACTCAACTGAGCATCATAAGTCATGTCTCTGTCCCTAACTTGGCCAGCTGTGTGACATCATGCAAACTGCTTAACCTCTCTGGGCTTTATTTGTAAAATAAGAGGATTGGATTAACTGCTCTAGATATTAACTAATCTAAAGATTCTCGATTCTGTGAGGAATGAGACTTGTCCTCTGATGACAGAAGGCAAGCTGAGACTGGAGTGTAAGGCAGGCAGGCAGGCAGATTTCAGCAGGATATCTGAAGGAACGAAGGAGGGGGTGCACTGTGCCCCTGGAGGCACGCAGAGCAGAGTGCCACAGCACAGTGATGGTACCCTGCAGGGAGGAGTTTAGACCCCCTGTGGCCCTTTCTACATCCAGATTAGGTCATTCCATGGATAGGGCAGTGGAATATAGACCTCATATGGTCATAGATAGGATTGTATCTTTTCTATCTTAAAGATGTAATTTTATCTTTTCAGAGTATATTTGATATTGTTTGTGGTCTTTTACAATGTAGGCTAGTCACTTTTAATGCTGTGTTAGATCAGTCAATAGGAAAGTAGTCTTGTGAAATTGAAATTGAACGGGAAGTTGACGTTACTATGTGCCCTCTCATATTTGGTACTTCCTTTCTGTAGGAGGAGGAGTTTTGGCCCACACGATACTAGGAGTTGCGTGGAATGAGATTACAGGGCAGATAAAGTTTCTGATTTTAGATCCGCATTATACAGGCGCTGAAGATTTGCAAGTTATCTTGGAAAAGGTAAGTGTCTGTTTAACACGAATTTAGATACAAGGCAAAGAGCCCAGAACCAAAGGATAGCCAACTGGCTGTTAACAGAAAGACAGATTAGAAACCGAGGCGGGGATCCTCACTCCCAGGAGATATTCTAAGGCTGGGATGAGGACTCTCTCTGGGTAGGGAGGAAAAGAGGGAACGGAAGACTTCCTCAGTTATTGAACTTAACAGTGGAACACAAAGGAATCTATTCCTTTCGAGATTTTACAGCTTTGCACAAACAAATGTATGGAGGTTTACCAATGCCTTGAAATGGGAGAGAGGAATATATAACCCTTTATAATTTTAGAATGAACCAAAAAGAGCTGTGCAGTATGCTGGACATTATGGAGGCTAGACCACTTTTAATTTGTTTACATAGAACTTAATCTCATTCTATAAAGGATTTGAATTTGAGACATTTGTTATGCTTATAATGTCAGCTAAAGGAGGTATAAATTAAATCATAATTATTAGTCATAATGACAACATATCCTGTTACCCACTATCTTTCATTTTTATCATTTTATTACTTACGTCAATATCAGTACCAATAAAAAGGTTTCTCTGAACTTTGAAGTTATGGTTTAATTAGGTCACTTTTTTAAAAGCAGCATTCCTGGGGAATTGGCTGGTTTAACGCTGACATTCATTGGTGAGATGTTTTCACAGGTTGAAAAGAATGTAACTACGTTAGGTTACTAAAGTCCTAAGGATGAGATGTTTTAGGACGTAAAGTACTTGAATGTGTGTGTAGCGGCACTCTTACAGCCCCAGGTTAGTAAAGTCTTTTGCTAATGATAAGAGTATCTGTGAATACGAACAGGTTATAAAGGTGTTCTTAAAATTTCAGGTGTTTTTCTCCCTGCTTTTCTCTTTCAAGGCATTTGGACTTTTTACTCTATGAAACGTTTTTGGCTGGCACCTGTTATCTTATTGAAAATAGGAGCAATATTTACTCTCTTTCTGTAGCAAAGTGCTCATTCAGTCAGCATTCACTAAGTGCCTGATATGTGCCATCCACTGTCCTAAGCACTAGGGTGTTAAAAAAGGTCTTGAAGGAGCTGTCAGTCTAGTGTAGGACAGAGAAGGAGAGTGTGGAAAGGACCCCAAGAAAAAATATGGCAGCTAAGGTGGAATTTACAAGGCTGATCCTGTAGGGGGACCACTGAGAGCCAGGGAAAGGAAAGCCAGGCACTATGGGAGTTTTCACAGCACTAGAGCTGGTGAAGAGGTGTGGCTGGAGGGGTGGGCAGGAGCTAACTCCAGAAGGGTCGTCATCTGAGCCAGGCACAGAAGCAAGCCTTAATTATTTTAATTAGAGGCAAGATAGAGATAATAAAATTCTTTCTTTCTGGCTTGCTTGTGGGACTTTGCACTAGATGGAATTATCTAGAGGGGGTTTTCTGGAGCAGTTAGCTAGAGTAAGGCATAGTTCCGGGTGACTTTCTCTGAGAACTGCGCTCTCCTTTGCTAGATATATTTCTGTAGAACTTTGCAACTGCACAAAGCCCTTTGCTCTATGAGCACACATAAGAAACCATGAAGCCAAGGCCTGGCCATCAGTAGGACTGTTGACCCTCACTTGACTCAAGAATCTAGGGTGCTGACTTAGCCCACCAGGGCTGCTGTAACAGAGTACCATATGCTGAGTGGCTACACAACAGAAATTCCCCTCTCACACAGTCCTGGAGGCTGGGAAATCCAGGATCCACGGCCTGGGTCCCAGAGGGCAGTCTTTTTCACTTCTTCACACGGTGGAAGGGATGAAGGAGCTTTCTGGGGCCTCTTTAATGAGGACACTAATCCCATTCACGAGGGCTCCACCCTCACAACCTTGTCACCTCCCAAAGGCCCCAGCCCCAAATACCATGACATTGGGGACCAGGCTTCAACATACGAATTTTGGAGGGACACAAACATTCAGTCTGTGGCAGGGGCCATGGAGAGTTCTGCCTCCGCCTGGCCTCTCTTCACCTCCGTGGGGAGGTCCCAGGCACTCACCTCAAAGGCAGGCAGCGTGGCCCCCATCTACTGCCATCAGTCTCTGGCTTTGGTGCCCTCTCTACCCACTTCTCTTAAAAACAATTGAGTCTAGTTACCTGGAGAAGGCCTACCCGTGTGAAAGGATCACACAGAGATTAAAAGAGAGATAATATAAGCCTTTTTTTCTATTTAAGAAAACAGATTTTAGAATATTAAATTTATTAGAGAAAGTTTTGCTGAAAAAATTAGATACTAAAAAGCAGCTTATTTATCTATAGAGACAGGTCTCAAAGACCATAAACCAAACTTAAGGGTGGTTACCTGGGGGCGGGGGAGTAGGACTGGTGCAGGATTTATTTTATGTTTTACTTCCATCCCCTTTGAATTTTTACAATGTGTATCTTATTTTTGCAATTAGAAAAAGGAAAATGAAAAAATGAAAGAGCATCTCTTCTCAACCCTCCCACCTCCACAGTGAAAACAGCCAACACACTATCTTCTGTAGGGACTGGGAACTCTGACTCGAGGTCCCTGCCAGAATCCCCAGCAGTTTCTTCCCAGTTAGCTAGGGCCAGGAAGAAGGCCACTCGGTGGTATTTCCAGAGTCCTGGCCAGCCTCCTCACAGGTATTTCACAAAGAGAGCATTTCACTTCAGAACGATGTCACACACCCGAGTCGCTGGCTGGGCCTTGAAAAGAAATCAATGGCCCTACAAGAAATGTGATAAATTTTTATATTCACATAAGATTTTATTTGAAAGTAATTTTGTGCTGGGGAAAAGGGTTACTACTGATATGAGGAATGGAAAAGGGAATGATTCCAGGCTGAGGAAAATCAAGGGCATAGATTGCAACACAAGGGGCAGTGCTCCAGTTTCTTACTGCCCTGTTTCCTCGTAGCTAAGACGCCACTGCACAGTGCGTTTTACGGCTGTGGACTAAGAGAAACAGACAGCCAGTTAAACTCTCACATGCCCTCGGCTGCTGGAACTGTAAAGCTGTACATCTTAGAATCAATAAAATGTGGTATTTGGGGGAACAATTACCATAAGGAAGCTTTCTCTTTTTTATAATTTCTATAATTAAATACTATAGAATTAAAATTTTTTAAAATTCTCTCTGAAATGGACCCAAATAAGATACTTTTCTATGCTTTATAGGAATTCAAATCTTTGAATTATATGGGTATGTAGAGTCTTATTTCAAGATCCTGCTGACAGAGCAGGATTGTAAAATGTCACAATTTTGATCACGTAGTCCTGTAACTTTGCTTTCCCTTTTCCCAATCTAGGGCTGGTGTGGATGGAAGGGCCCAGACTTTTGGAACAAGGATGCTTACTATAACTTATGTCTTCCCCAGCGACCAAATATTATTTAAAATATCTTGGACTCAGAGACTGTAATAAAGTTGTATTATAAATTTGTTAATAAAGAAAAAGTTTAATTTCAAATTAATTCCTGAGTCTAGTTTGATGGTTTAAACTACGATATGTTTTCAAAGATTGTAAATACTGCACAAAGAATTCTTTAGATATTCCTTTAATAATTTAAAAGACAAAGTATGCACAGCCAAAATATTATAGGCATGTAAATACATGTATTGTGAAATGTGATCTTCACTTAGAAGAAAGTTTTCCTCCTTCTTAGAAGGACACACGTTAGTGAGCCAAAAGTCCTAGCTTGTAGCTGAGCAGCAGACCTGCATCAAGGGAGGGCCTTCTTCTGACCTCTTCATAACCAACATGACATCTGTTAAAAAACACAGTAACATTAAAAACTGTTTAAAAAAGTTTTCTCCCCAACCTTCCACCATGCAGGATAATTTTTGGTTTCTAGAATCTAGTAGAAGTCACTGTAACCACTGTTAAAATGTGTGAATGAAAATGGAAAGAGAGACTAGAAATAAGACTGCCAATATTTAAATGAAACAATGAATTCTGTACTAAGTAAAGAGATCCTGGAAGGAGGAAGAAAAAAGAAACCATGAGTTACTTACCAACACTTCCTTTTCCCATTCGTATTTTCTACACTTCCAAAACTTCGTTTCTGTCTGAGCACTGGAACACAATGATCTCTACTGGACTGTTCGTTTGATTTGACTGTCTGCATACATTTAATTGTTGTAAGAAATTTGGCACATTCTGGAAATCCACATGACCAAGCGAGATCTTCAGCTGTTTTGCCCATTCTTATTACATAGGCTGAATTAAAGGAAAAAAGTAAGTTAAATAAAAACTGACAATTGTTTAGCCTTTTTTTTTTTATTATCTTCCTAACAAAGGAGCTTTGGCCTCATACAAATGTTGGTTTCACAATAGAAGAGGCAAAGGAAGCACAGAGAAATTCCATTCTTGCTCACTAGTGTATCCTCAGTGGCTAGCACAGAGTCCAGCAGAGTGGACATTCCATTTTGGAAGGAATGAAAGAGTATTCTGTGTTCAATACAACGAATAAGCACCCAAAGGAAGTCAATGAGAACTTTTATAGGATGGATTTCCTAAACCAAAACTAAGATGCAGTACTGCCATGACAGATGAACACAACTGCACCTCTGGACTGCTGAGGATCCATTTTTTACTTATTCAGATTCAATAGTATCAGATATCATTAACAACCTAAGTTAACATTTAAATGATAACTAAATTATCAATTAGGTAAGCATCATTTTTAAAAGTACATGTAATTAAGCTTCAGGACTCTGATTAGTTTAATCCAAGAAAATATAAAATTTGAAGTTAGCGATTTTATACTTACTCGATTTGAGCATCACTGGCTACAAGCAGACTAAGGCATTCCAGGCTTCCAACCTTTGCTGCCTTGTGTAGGGGAGCTTCTCCAAACACATCCTTAGAGAGAAGACAGCACATTTTAGTCTAATCCCAAAACTCCTGATTGTGGAAGTTGGTGGGTGAAGTCTCATTACTAGGGAGGAAGCTACATGAGGAAGCCAGTTAGAACTGTGTTGTACTGGACTGAATTTGTCAATTCAGGTTTTTGTCAGAAAGTTCACTTGGTGTTCTATTAAACACGAAGGTTTCATTAACAAAAACATGTACAGCACAGCCACATATATTAAAATTTAAGTGAATAAAAGCAAAATAGGGTTCTATAGAGGTAAAAAAATTTACAATTTATAATTCACCATACTTTAATATCCAAGGGAAGACGCAGACTACCAAAAGCAAGTTCTGTAGGTAACTATAACGGTTGTACGCATGCCTCACAAATATTGTTTCAGTTGCTACACTGAGACTTTTAATTTGGTAATGTAGCAGTTGTTCCTTCTGAAATAAACTGCAGCCCTGAGTATGCTGTCCAGTTTAGTAGCCAGTAGCCGTACCTAAGGCTAACGAGCACCTGAAATGTCTGAATCAAAAGGTGCTATAAATGTAAAACACACAGCAGACTGAGTAGACATACGGAAAGAAAACGCAGAACATCCATCAGTAATGTTTTATATTGATTACACACTGAAATGATATTTTGGATAAACTGGGTTAAATTATAAAATTAATTTCACGTTTTGTTTTACTTCATTAACGTGGCCACTAGAAAATTTTTAATTACATCCGTGTCTCGCATTATATTTCTATTGCACACCGCTGCCGTAGACATGTTTCTAACAACTGAAACAACTGACTCTTTGGGCGTCTCGGAGATGTCTGTGCGGCTTTGGGGTGGAGGGGAGCCCAGCACACAGCAACAATCAGTTACCTAGTTACCTGTTGGTTGAGGTCAGCGCCCGCTTGCAGTTGCCAGAGAAGAAAGCAAGCGAGACCGCCCCCGGCGGCCAAGTGGACAGGCGACTGCTCGCAGGGATCCGGGGGCGCGTTGACCGAGGCCCCGGCCTCCAGCAGATGCCTCAGACTATCCACCTGCGGGAGGAGAACAGCTCCAGCATCCCTCTCGCCTCCGTCCGATCCTCCACCCTCCCGCAGTTGAAAATCGCTCCCCACTCCAAAACCTTCCACCTCCGAAGCAGCCTGATTCGGCGGCGCCCAGGGGTCAGTCCCCCTCGCTAGGGTTCCCGAGCAGACAAACACCTGGAAGCTTAAGCCTGCGGGACAAAAGGGGCCCGAGTCTCACCTCCGGGTTGCAATCCAGCAACTGCATTTCCCGCCTGAAGCAGAGGACAGGCTTCCTCGGGCGTGCAGGGCGGCGCGCGCTCGCTGCAGACCGGCAGGTAAGAGTGCACCAGCTGCCCAAGTGGGTAAGAATTTAAAGATCGCCCGGCGCAGCGGGCCCGCCCTCGCCGCCGCGCCCCAGCCGCCTAACCCCCAGCGGCCCGGCCTCTCCCCGCCCCGCGGCCGCCGCACGTACACAAACAAGCAGCACGTGCACCCGGGGACCCGGCGAGGCGGGCGGGGAGAGGCGGCGCGGGCCCGCCAGCCGATTGGCCAGCCGGGGAGGCGCCGGGCCCGCCCACCTCGGGGCGGGGCCCCAGTGCGCGTGCGCCGGGGAGGGCGGGGACCGCGGGGGTTGTGCGGCCGCCATAGGGCGCGCTGCGTTTGGCACGTCGCGCCCCGCCGTGCCCAGCCCTTTTGTCCCCACGGAGACGCGGGAGTCGCGGGCGAAGGTTCTGGTTTCTGCTAGCACGCACGTCACCAGGAAACGAGGGAGCCCTCCCGCACCGTCCCCTGTGGAAGCCGCCCCGCCCCCGCCCCCGCCCCCGGCTACGGAGGAAGGAGCGAGAATCCTTTAGGGTCGCCCCGGGCTCGGCCCCTTTCGGGAGAGAGCGGGAGCTGGGGGCGGGGGTGGGAGCGGGGGCGGGGGTGGGGGCGGGGAGTGGGAACCGAGGGGCTAGCTTTTACCGCGGTGCCGGCCACACCGACCCCCGAAATTAAAGAATGTCTCTAAGCAGCCTCTTCCGAGGTTAAAATGCTGCCGTGCCCACATCGGGAGTCCTGTAAAGTCACCCAGCTGTGGTCACGTGTCCCCTTCTGGAGAGGAGTAGAGCACTCCCGGGTTTGTCGCCTCGGGAAGCGTCGAGCGTCCCAGCTGTCAATCTTGAGCTCGCTGAGCCTGGGGGGCGCAGGGGACGGGGACACGTGGGCTCGCCCTCGCCTCTGGCGTGGAGGAAGGACCCCAGCCCGGCACGTCTGCCACCTCCGGGCTCCTCCGGCTGACTGCACCTCCGAGCTGCGCGGGGGACCGGCAGGGCGTGGGGCGAGGGTCCGGGCGTCTCTCCGGTGTAGCTGGAGTGCTTCCTTTCTCTGAAACTTTAGAATCAGGCTTCCTGACTTCAGATCGTAGCCGTTGACCGCATATATAATCTCTCGACTGTCTTTTCCTAAACACTTTTTCAAATTAGCTAAAAAGTAAAGCTCCGGCCATACGTCTTTTCCCCTAAAATCTTCAGTGGTTCTCCTTCTATCTAAGGATACCCTTGAGAGCAGACTGAAAAAGATATGTTTATTATTATGCTTTTAGAGGACAAGTTTATTGTGCTTGTGTTGTGTTTTTTATATTTAAACTATTCACAATACCTTTTTGATATTTAAAGAATGTCAGACGTACGGGAGAACACGTGTCCATATTGCCAAGTTCCCTTTTGTCATGTTTATCAATAGGTAAGCACTCCTTTTTAAAGCATAGAATTAAGCTTCAGGTTTGCACAGAGGTTCATTTTCAGGAACTCCTAACTAATACGGGTATTATCAGAGAAGGAACATTTGTATTGCAGTTAACATATGCGATGGGATACTTGTGTGATGAATGTGTCTCCATATTACATCCTTTTTTCTTTAAAACAAAATTCTCTTCAGCATGAAGTCTGGTAATTATTGTTGACTTTGTTACATGTGGAAATTTCCCAAGGAACAGGAATTTTGGGAGAAGTTGTTAAAGCTCTTCTCCCTTTAATCACTGCACACCGTGTTTCCAAAAAATTCTGTATGTCTCAGCTAGGTATCTGGTTTACTTTTAAAGTAACGGGCCTAAAAGCCTTCTAAAAACTGAGGAAAGCTGAGGGAGGGCAAAAGTACACAGAATAAATACATTTGGGGGACAGTGGCTTACTGGCAAGTAACAAGTTTTTACTGAACATGTAACAAGATCAGTTTTCCAAAGAGGAAGATGGTCTGAGATGCGCGTTCCACAGGCCCTCTTCTAAGCAGTGCTAATTCTACTTACGGTTACGTTGCTGGTAGAAGTGTTTCCAGGAGGACGCCTTTCAGAATAAGCATTTAAAAACAAAAGTTGGATGATGACTAAGTGACTAAAATGAAAGATGGTACGGACTGAGTCTTGAAGGGTAAGAGTTTGCTGGTTAGTCCAGGAAGGGAAGAGTATTTCTAGGAAGTGTAAGGTAGCTCCCAGTGTTGAGAGCACTGTGTGTTTCAGTCTGGTTGCAGTACTGATACATATACGGCGATGGGAAATAAAGTTAAAGACAAAGATTTACAAATGAGAAATTATGTGAAATAACCATTAACGTCTATTCCAATTTATTATAAATTGACATTAATTGAGCACTTACTATTTCCCAAGATTAATACAGATAGGTATTTTTATCTTCTCCATTTTACCGGAAACTGAGGCTCTGAGAGGTTCAGTAACTTGTCTGAGGTCATAGTCTTAAAGGGTGGAGCTGGAACTCAGGCAACTTGACTCCAGAACCTGCATTCCTATCACATCTATTTTAAAGAATTCTGGTCATCTTTGGTAGTTTCAAAGCTACTAAGATTGGCTTCTTTAAAGCAAGATAAATTCCTTAGAGAAAGTTATTACAATCCATAGAAAAACAGCTTTCATTTAACGATGACCGTTAATGTAGCCTTGTTTCTAGATGTGAATCTTCCACAGTGCTTAGCCCAGTGCCTTCGACTTGAGGAGTTCCTCTTGAATAAATGAATGAATATGTGCCAATCGGTGAAAATTATTAAATAAAAGTATTTGGTGGAACCAATAGAGAGGCTAATTGCATCTATTTCCCATTTGCCTTTATTGACCATAAAGATGACTGGAAAACATTCTCCAAATGCATAGCATTGAAAGGAGGAGTAATTGGGAATACCTACTAATCCCCAATTATCACTATTATAGGACACTTAATTAAATTTTATACATTTAGTAATCCCATAGAAAACTCTGGCTCGAAAGCAAGTGAAGGAATATAAAGTAAAACTAGAAATCTCAAAAGTTGGCTTGGTTTCACGTATATTACATAAATCTCTTGAGAACATCATAACTGCAAAATATATTCAAGTAATATTCAAACATATCTGAATATGATGTCTCAATTGTTAATTGCCAGTCAGGTGTCCACCTTATATTAATGTTGACCAGATTCCACTGAGCCTTAATAGTAACTGTTTTTATTAATTATTAATAATGATGTATGGCAACTATACTTCTATAGCTCATACAATGAAGATGATGTATCACTCCAAATAAGAAAATGTTTTAAAGACAAGGTGATAGCCAGATCTGGAATTTCAATAAATGGTCTTTGGTTTTAAACAGGTTTTTTAAACATCTACAGATTGAAAAAGGACTTAAACTAATCAAATATAATTCTGGCCCTCACTGGCATTGGCAGTCAGGAAATCCACGATCCCAGTATGATTGTAAAAGCAAAAGGATTTCCCAAAAAGAAATTCTTCTTGCTGCTTCATACCTAAACTCTTCCAGCCTTGATTACTCAGACTTCTTGGGAAAGGTGATAAATTGTATAGTTATTCTAAACTGCTGCTGCACCAGGATATTGTGGCACAAAAAAATAGATGATTCATGATAGGTGGGTAGGTGGATGGAGGGATGGATAGGTGATAGGTTAAGTATATTCATCCTCTTTTAATGACATTTAATTCCTAAGAGCCTCTAGTCTCAAGGGCTCCAATAGTCTCAACGGTAACATATATTTAAGTGTCTACTTCCTCACTGTTTTGAAAAAATCTTGGAAAACTTGGAGGGTGTTTGTTTTCTCATTTCCTCTCCGGGTCATGTCTTCCTTTCGGTGCAATGTTGTAGAAATTACAGATGATGAATTTATAAAATTGAATGAAGTAGGAAAAAGGATGGAAAGTTAGTCCTTAAAGTTAAACTTTTAGATGAGGTTACCTGGGTTTCTCATTATTGGAAAGGGAAGTTATAAACAAGTAGAGAAGGCTAGAATGAGCATATGGTACTGGATTCGTCAAAGACATCATATGAGCTGATAGCTTAACATAGACACAGATGGATACATACAGAAATAGTCATATCTTGGTGAATACATGGGATAGTGTGCATACATCTAGCTCTGCCTGCTGTGAGAGGCCTAGAAACGGTGACACCTCGGTAGCAATGAACACACCCAGCTCTCAATCTTGGTTTTTAATACCATCCTCCAATAGCTGAAACCCGGGCTCCTGGAGAAATTGCTGATTCTAGGGCTGAGGCAGGGAAAATACACGATGAGCCTGGAGCATCTTTAGTGCCAGAAAGTAGGGAAATGCTCCAAAAACAAAAGGATGGGTGCATGTGAAAGGGACAGAGCAGTGAACCTAAAAGAGTTCCCAATGGCCCAACAACGTTGGATTATAATTCTATAAAATAGATTTCCATGAGTCCATACTGATATAAATGATTGAATAAATAAATGAGAGAGAAAAGGCTTTTCCTTACAAAAGAATTCCAAACACGTGTTAGATACTCCCCTCTCCAGGAAGTGGAGCTTAACCTCAGCCCACCCTGCCCTCTTGAGTGTGGGCTACCCATAATGACTTGCTTCCAAAGAGTAGAGTCTGGGAAGGGGGAAACAAAGGTAACTTTACAGTGGAGAAACCTGTCACACACTCCCTGGGCCAGGTAACTGTTATCATCAGTGACAGATCGTGTTGATAGCGTGCCCTCCGATAAGACATGGTGAGAAGGGGGCTTCACCTCTGTGATATTCTTCCCTGAAGCCCATCACCCAAGTCCATCCATGAGCAAATCATCAGATAAACCCAGATCGGGGGACCTTCCACAGGATTTCTGGCCAGGACTCCTCACAGCTGTCAAGGTCTGAAAACAAGGAAAACCTGAGAAACTGTCACAGACCAGAGGTAGCTAAGGAGACAGGATGACTAAAGGTCGTGTGGTGACCTGGGTGGGATCCTGGAACAGAAAGAGGACATTAGTGGAAAAACTAGTGAAATCCGGATACAGTGTAGGGTTCAGGTAATGGTAATGCACCAACTTTGGTTTCTTGGTTGTGACTAATATACCAAAATAATGTAATGTTAACAACAGGGGAAACTGGGTGAAGGAATTCTCTGTACTATCTTTGCAATTTTCCTATAAATCTCAAGTTATTCTAAAATGTAAAATTTATTTTAAAAAAGAGAACTTGAGGCAACTTAAAACAAGTGGTGCCATGTCCACACCCGGGATCCAAACCCGTGAACCCTAGGCCACCAAAGCGGAACGTGTGAACTTAACCACTGGGCCACTGGGCCGGCCCCTGAAGCTAGTTTTAATCAGACAAGGAACAAAAAATCTCACAAAGTTCTCACAACCAATCCCTACTTAACTTTTTGTTCTGATTAACCAGTAAACTCAGTTCCTCTGTAAAACATATTCCCCATTGCACTGACCACTGGGAGGTCTTGTCAGGCTGTTCTCTAGAATGCTCGCTTACTTGGGCTTACATCAGTTTGAATTTTTTCCCACACCTATAAGGATTATTATAATATGTAATATAATTAAATATTATATAACTGGTGAAATATGAGTGAGAAGTGAGAGCTGTAATTTTTAACAAAACTAAATCAAATGCTTTCAAAATCCTCAAGTCGCTAAGAAAAATGCTTTCAAAGTAGGCAAGGATGACCCAACTGTGAAAGATGGGGAGAGAGAGTTCCACACTCAGACTGTTTCATTTTTAAATTCATACTCCATTTTAAAGAAACGTAGTCTGAAATTTGTATGCATATGGTTTATGCAAGAAAGACAACTCTAAACTCTCACGTTCAACCTCATTTAAAGAAATAGCTTCTGATCCTACATGAAAAGCTTGGGAAATAACTATATATTTACATGTTTTAAGTTAAAATGTATATGGTATGTTTCTATACTCTTATTAATTTCCACTGATTCTTTTTTAACTGACCGACTATAAGTCCCAGTAATACCAGATAAGAGAGCTCCCAGTGTATCTATTGTGCAACCTATTTCTTTCTTTAAGGAATATAAGGACAGTAGCTGGATATATAGTGTACCTTCAGGAAACGCATGCATTCTGCTTCTTTCTGTAGGCCATAGCTACTTGATAGATTTGACATATAATTTATCTAGTGTAGAAAGTTGAAACTCACCTTCTTATGGTAACTCAAGTTTGCCAAAATTTGTTACCATCCTACTCAAATTAATCTTTGTCCCCAAGAGGAGAAAAAATAGAGATAAAATGTTGATTTTACTAATAAAATAATAATTAAAACAAATGAATAACAGTGTAATGTATGATGTTAAGTTCTACTCAAACATATATCTGATATTCTATATTTTCCAGCTACTTTAAATAATGTGCATTTTTTAATAAAACACTGAATTTCAAAACTTTGACAGTTTCCCCAATCATTTAATAAATCATTACTATCCACTTATCTTATGCAGCTACAATTGATAATATAAATTTCTTACATGCTTAATCTTTTTTAAGAACTGAGTTACCAAAATACTTTGAGAGTTCCTTGTGAAAGTGTCATTAAGCACAGAAGTTACCTAGATCAATAGTGATATTTAGGATTTCATGAAATCTTCTCTCTTACCTAATGGAACTGAGAAATGGGTGTGCGATGACATTACTGTCTGTTACCTATAAGTTGTCTAAGAACATGGAGTGGAAACAAGCAGCCTTGTGGGTCTGCCTATGATTATTTCATAAAAGTTTGGGACCAGCTCAGTGGCATAGTGTTCGCACACTCCACTTCAGCCATCTGGGGTTCACTGGTTCAGATCCTGGGTGTGGACCTACACATCGCTCATCAAGCCATGCTGTGGCAGCATCGGACACAGAAGAACTAGACTGACTTACAACTAGGATATACAACTGTGTCGTGGAGCTTTGGGGAGAAAAGAAAAATAGGAAGATTGGCAACAGATGTTAGTTCAGGGCCAATCTTCCTCACCAAAAAAAGGTTGCCTTAAAAAAAAATTAAAAATTTTAGAAATTAAAAAAAATAAAAGGTTAACCCAGTTTTTCTGTTTGGTGTGGCTTTCATAGTCATTAGGACAGGAGGTCAACTTAAATTTGTGTTGTTACAGATTTTTGTCACTTCCTCTTCTGATTCTGTTTCTTTTCCCAAATGTCACCACAATTTGAGAGTGATGAGCAATTGAAGCATTTACTCAAGTATTTTACTCCCTGGCCCCTAGAAGTAAATCATTCCAGAGTGTGATTGTAAGTACAAAAGCATCAGCTCTTCTGTACAAATAAGCTTCTGTAAATCCAGAAAATAAATATACAGTCACTCAATAACACTCATATTCATTTCTCTTTGGATGTTGAGTGAATCCCCACAGGAAAGGTCCTGGTAGCCCAAACTGGGCAAAAAGACATTTCCACACAGTGGGAACAGGACAGACGAGGCAGGCAAATCCCACGTCCTGGCATTAAGATTTTGAACAAATCAGGGTTTCCGAGCCTATTTTATTTGCTTACAGAATACATGCTAAGTTGGAGAAAAATGAAATAAAAAACAACTAAGCGGTCCCATCCAGTGCCCCCCACAGTTTCTTGGGCAGTGAGAGACAACCTGTCTTTTCTTGTACTTCTTTTTTCTCCTTTCACAGCATGACATTGTAAATTTACCACACCCAAAAGGAAGTGCATGGGGAAAAGTACTTTTGTTTTAAATAAACAGACCTAGCTGGAAGGGAAAAAAATCAAGAAAGAAAAAATAGAAAGCCACTGCCTGATTCAGTATTGTCTTTTGAGATCTCAGCAATAATTATAATATTCTTTCCTAAGTTTCCATCATATATGTAGAGATTATGCTTCTGGTTAATGTATGAACACTACTTTTTTTTTCACTACCATTAGACAACAGTAACGAAAGGAACAATAAACACAGGCCTTTGCACTTCTGCCCAGGATGCTGATTTAACCCTATTTTCATGAGCACCAGTAACTTTGTTCATTATGTCAGGAACTTCAGTGTTGAACCTCAGTTTTAGAAGAACTTTAAATAGTTATTCGTTATTTCAGTATTGGATTAGGCCAACCAATAAAAGTGCCAAATGGGCCAATTAGAAACATCAGCAAATATGATTATATTAATAATAAAAAATAACAGAAACTTGGCCAAAAGTTACATGGAACGTGTAGACTTGTATTTTTACAACATAGTCAAGGGTACTGTGTCAGGACTAGGACTCAGCATATAGTTGTCCTCATGGCTAAGTTCACTGCAGCGAAAGGATACACGACAAGATCAGCAAGCAGAAAAGACACAGGTGGAGTCTGGAGAAATCTGTGCACAGGCTTATCGTTCTCTCTCTTCCATGAAGAAACACACCAGTGTGCTCCTTTCTCCAGGAGTGAAGAATGCAGGAACATGTGTGCGATGTTTCTGCCAAAGGAAGCCCATTACAGACTGAGCATCCAACGTTTTTATTGGGTACTGGTCATGTTGGTTTCCTCTGCCTGGCAACTACTAAAATACAGATTTCCCAGAGGAAAGCAGGTATTCAGCACACATCACATTGTTTGTACACACAATCTAAGCTCTAGTCTTATCAGGTGGGGACAGCTTAAATGTCAACTTCCCAGAAGCCAGCCAAGGACCAACCTTGCCAGCATGCCGTTCCCAAGATGGCAGCCTCAGGCCAGCTTTGCTAACTCTTCTCTGCACAGGTACGCGAGAACAACCCATAAAAGACACTAACATACTTAAACTCATTTTGCAGCAGTTTTACATTTAAATTACCTTTAGCTATTCCATAAAAAATTTACAAACATTTTTAGAGAATTGTATCACATGCCAAAGGTTTATATTTGTATGTAAAAAAGTAAAAAAGGAGGGATAATTTAGTAAGAATTATTATTTAGGAGGTTTTTGTGCAAACATCCAAATTTTTATGTGAATAAAATATCAAGCCAGCCCAGATGTGCATACTGTGTTGAGTGTATGATCAACACAGAGAGAAGCAAAAGGCACTTTCTTCTGGGATACCCTGGTGCAAAAGCTCCAAAGATCCTCCAAGGATGGAAGGTGGTTTTGCCAAAATCCAAACAGGCTGTTTGGATGTGGTTGGAGAAGTTTTTTTTTTTAATATCTGTGATTTGTTGAAGCAGCCCTATGCATGATTCTCAGATCTTTCTATTTCCATTTGCCTTGGAGCTAACAAGAGGATGTCGTTTTGCATGTCTCCAGGCCACAGAGGCCCCTCCACCCGAAGGTTCTGTGTGCTCCCAGCATTAGGCCTTTCCTCCAGCTTCACCAAGGACGGCAGGGCTTAGTCACTTTCCATTGTGGCAACTTTTCATACAAGCCTTCCTTCTCCTCCTCGCCGTCTTGAGCCCAGCTACTATCTCACTAGATCTTTTTTCACTTTGTCCCTCTTTGTCTAAGTGTACCTTTCAGCTTGTTTACGTGCAGGCTGTTCATATCTGAGACGAGCCGCACCTCTAGCATGGCTGAGGCTCAGGTGTGTTCTCCGCAGCCCCCATAGCCTGCCTCCTCTCCCAGGTGCCCACCAGATCTCCTGATACCTTACTGACCACATTTGATAGTCAGATTTGTGCCCGTTGATCAGTATTATCCATTTAACATCATCTGTAATCTTTTACCAGAGAAGGAGGGTGAGGAAAGTCTAGTCCCCACGTTCTTTCTCATTTCTGAAGCCAAGTTCCCAAATGAAATGAAACCACTTTTTGCTTGATGAGGTCTGTGCATAATGGTAGATATTCTCTATTTCAGTATATAAAGGCCACCTTTACCTAAAAAAATTATGCCTAAAATTAAAATGATTTTTTAACATGTTAGTTGTACCATTAAAATACCTGCAAATTTAATCTAAATAGTTACCTATTTTACCTGTTACAGACAATACACAAATAGAAGTTGTAAATACAAACTCCTTTGTATTTATCACTAAAAGTTTCCTTTCTAAAACTTTCTTAAAGTTGCCTTTAATTTAATACATTTGATTTACCACTTAAAGTAGAAATTCATTTTTAAGTATCCCTAAATAAGTTTTTTCCTTTACAATTAGATTGTTCAGAACACAAGTTTAAAGGCCAAACTTGCCTGTAAAAGATTTAATACACATACTTCAAAACAGAACTACCCAGTTAAAAGTACAACAGTGATGGAGGGATAATCGTCTTTTCAACAAATGGTGCTGGGACAACTGGGTATCCGCACGCAAAATAATTCATTTGGACCCCTCTCTCACACTGTATACAAAAAATAACTCAAAATGGACCAAAGACCTAAATGTAAGAGCTAAAACTATAAAACTCTTAGAAGAAAACAGAAGTAAATCTTTGTGACTTTGGATTAGGCAATGGTTTTTCTTAGACATGACACCTAAACCACAAACAAGAAAAGGAAAAATAGAAAAGTTGAACTTCAGTTCCTATAACACAATAGCAAAAGAAAGAAAGAACCCAATTAAAAAATGGGCAAAGGACCTGAATGGACATTTCTCCAAATAAGCCTGACATCTGGCCGAAAGGTATGTGGTGATGGTTTCATGGGTGTATATTTATCTCCAACCTCATCAAGTTGTATACATTAATTATGTACAGCTTTTCAATCACACCTCAACAAAGTGTTTTTTTAAAAAGAAACAAATCAGAATAAAACATTTGAGAATATTTTTTAAAAAAATGGACTTCATCAAAATAAAAAAATGGAGGGGTCAAAGAAACTATCAAGAAAGTGAAAAGACTCTACAGAATGGGAGAAAACATTTGCAAACTATATACCTGATAAGAATCTAGTAGTCAGAATATATAGAGAACTCTTACAACTCAACAATAAAAAGACAAATAACCCAACTACAAGATAGGCAAAGGATTTGAATAGCCATTTCTCCAAAGGAAAAAAAACCCAAATGGCCAATAAGCACATGAAGAGATGCTCAACATCATTTTTCATTAAGGAAATGCAAATCAAAACCATGAGATACCATTTCACATCCACTAGGATGGCTATTATCATAAAGATGATCAAGGGGCTGGCCGGGTGGCCCAGTGCTTAAGATCGCACATTCTGCTTCGGCAGCCCGGGGTTCCCGGTTCAGAGCCCGGGTGCGGACTATGCACCACTTATCAAGCCACGTTGTGGCAGGCATCCCACATATATAAAGCAGAGGAAGATGGGCAAGGATGTTAGGTCAGGGCTAATCTTCCTCAAAAAAAAAAAAAGTTAAAAAGAACAACAAGATGGGTGTGGGTGGGGACGTGGAACCCTTGTGTGTTGCCGATGGAAGGTACAATGGCACAGCCACTTTGAAAAACAGTTTGGCAATTTCTCAAAATCTTAAACATAGAATTACCACATGACCCAGCAATTCCACTCCTAGGCATATACCCAAGAGAACTGAAAACCTATGTCCACAAAAACACTAGTACATGAAAACTACCAGCATTATTCATCATCACCAAAAGCTGGAAACAACCCAAATGTCTTTCAAATGATGAACAGATTTTTTTTAATGTGGTGTATTCATATAATGAAATATTATTCAGCCATTAAAAGGAATGCCATACCGATACATATGAAAACATGCATGAACCTTATAAACGTTATGCTAAGTGAAAGAAGCCAGACACAAAAGGCCACATATTGTATGCTTCCATCTATATGGAATATCCAGAATAGGAAATCCATAAAGACAGAAAGTAGGTTAGTGATTGTCAGGAGCTGAAGGGAAGGAAAGAATGGGGAGTGACTGCTAATGTCTACAGGGTTTCTATGGGAGTGATGAAAATGTTCCGGAATTAGATATTGGTGATGTTGCACAATCTTGTGCAATTAACACTCAGAGCAGCTGCAGATGGCACAGTAACTAGTAAAGAGCCTCTAGAAGGGGCAGCATCAATGCCCACGACTCCTGTCCTTCCCTTTAAAAGCGTAGATTTCTTTCAGATTTTATATCAATTAATTTCTATTATAGAATTTTCTAAATTCACTGCCTGTTATGCAAACAATTGTCACGTTTCAAATGATGATTCTATATCTAATCCCAAGATTTGGCAGAAATAAAGACACACTCTTGCTTTTTAAAATGTTCTCTTAGTTCTCATTTTCTGAAATTAGAAAGTACTACATTTTGTTTTAGCCTCTTATAGGATTCCTGCTATTTAAGAAAATCACATTAGCTTTGCTTTGTGGAGAACAGTGGAGAATAATGATGAAGTGCACAGGTGCTAGGGCCATCCCAGCGGGACCACCTCCTAGCCCTGTGACCTGAGGCAAGTTACTTCACTTCCTCACTGTGACTCAGTTTCCTTATACGTTAAATGGGCCCCATAATAGCCCCCATTTCATAAAGTTTTGTAGGAGTTAGTGCCTGTAAAGCGCTTAGAACAAAGAAAATATCTGGCATTTAGTAAAAGCTCAATAAGTCTTCGTTTTCTAGACTTTCTTCAAGTCTTTTAAGCCACAGCAACAAAAACCATGTGCAGCATTGTAAGCACAGAATGCAGCTGGAGTTTAAAGAAGGTATTGTTTTCTGATTTTTTCATTCCCAATGACCTTCCTGAATATGGCAAGTTTTTCCTTAGCCTTTTCGGATACAGCAGCACCTGGGTTAATGTCTTCAGTGAAATAAACACTTCTCTAGCCAGTTTCTGAGTCAACTGATCGTGCTATCTACATCATCCTATTTGGATTGCTTTACTTCTAAATACTTTACGAAACATGCTTCACCCGAAAGCTCACTGGAAACTTTTATATTCACTAAAGCAACCATAAGATTTTGGGAATCATATAATCGAAGAATTTTACATATATAGGACAGACATTTTGAAATCCTCTAGTTCAAACTAAGTATAGTCCAAACTGCAGATAAGGCAATTGACTATCTTAAAAAGATTAAATGACTTCCAAAAATCAGATACTTCAGTGATTTTTTTCCCCCTAATATACTGAATTATCTCCCTTTTCTACACTTCATGTTCATTAATGAAACAATTTACTGTCCGAATTAGTATCATCTAATTGTATAAATGCAGCTTGCCAATCACACTAAAGGTCTCTTGAATTCTTCTCTTCACCACCAATCAGGAACCTTTGCTGGAAGCTGGTTCCTGATTGGTGAAAGGCCCTGTAACAGTAGAATGCCAAGGAGTAAACAAAAACACATAGCAACAACTGAGTTTGCTGTCTCACTACCCTCAGCCTAGGCCAACCTGGACTCCTTCATCCCAAATGAGGTGGCCTCCACATTTTATATGAAGGCTCTGATTTTCCATTCAACTGTAATCCATCTTATAACATGGCAATCCAATACAGATGGGAAGATAAAACTGAACAACACAGCTAAAATAAAGTGTATTCCCAGGTAAAATAGACACATGCTTTAATTTGAAATGGATTAGTCTGATGAGCATCAGTTACAAGGCAACAGGAAGGTACTTGTGCACAGGAACCGTATCTATGGGCAGTGGCACCAGTTCCTACTAGTGCTACCAGCTGTGGCTAGGTAACACGACCCATTGCAGCATTGGATCTCATCGCCAGAGAGGACTTGCCAACAGCTCTCACCATTAATCCCAATGCTGTGGAAACAGCCATGGAGGATGGCTGTGCTTCAAATAGTTATGGAGGGTCCTGGTTTCCTAAGAAAGAACATTCACATCCCAGAGCTGACGGTTTGGTGTCCTATCCCTAGGCAATACGGGGAGGTTGCTTTTTCTAAGGACTGCCACGTGGGAATGGAGTCTCTTTTTGCATTTTTCTGGAGGAAGATATTTCTACCATCTTATTTTTCATTCTTGTTTACAGAATACACCTTGTGGAAACAGGATGAAGTTGACCAGTGAAAACTTGCCCAAGAACCCCTTTTATACCTCCCTGTCCCAGTATGCTGCTAAGAACCCAAAATTCTTCCAGTGGAGAAAGGAAAAGACTGGTACAAATTCTGACAGTACTTTCACTAACAGTTAATTTCGTACCCCAGAGCAAAAGAAACAAGCAGTATGACTCTTACTGCTTCAAAGAAGTGGTGAACTTCACAGTCCTATCTATCTTTTCTCTAAGAATCTGTGAAATTGCTACCTAACTTACTTGGTAGCAAATTAGCAGGGAGCAGTCTCATAATTAGATCCTGACTCTACTCTCAGGACTTTAGGACACCCTTCTGGAAAAGAGAAGCCAGATGTCACTTCTATTAAGAGAACAATGCCATGTTTTACTTGAAACTGGCATTTAAAGATACCATTTTTTTCTATAGAATTAAAAAAATTAAATTGGGGATGGTTAGCTCATTTGGTTAGAGTAGTTCTAATTAAGGCTCAGATTAAGAATTTCACTCACTCACAGGACAGCCTTGCACACAGACTCCATTGCTAGAACTCTGCCTGGTGGTGAACAGCATTAGTTTGAATGCCATTCAATAAATATTCCTTGATTATACAAGCACGATTTTAGGTATTGTGATAACGGGTTGGGGTTTTTTTTCTGTTTTTCCTTTTTTTTTTTTAGGTAACACTTTTTCCTTGAGCTAAGGAGGCCAGTTTTAGGAAGAACTAGGAAGGGAACTGGTATTAACAGTGTCAGATGAACTCTATATAGTTTATTACTTCAAGAGAGAAAACTCACATCATACGGTTGAAGATGGAATTCTTTTCCTTTCTTTAATCAGATCATTACAGCCATGCTAATTTGGTGGATAGAGCATTGCAACTCTTGAAGGAAAGAATAAGAAGAGGGGACGCTATGGCCTATTTCCTACGAGGTCAACTATATTTTGAAGAGGTATAATGTTTTTGTTTCTTTGTTTTCATTTCCCATAATGCTGTTGTTGGATCCTCATAGCAAAATTTCCTGTAGAGTTGCTTACAGTGTTATATCAGGGAAATTCTGTCACTTTCCATATATTGTGGGTGTGGCTTTAAGTATGATACACTGGTAGCAGCTTAAGGAGATACCTGACCTTGCTCCATAAAAGTCATTCTAATGATGTCATTTATAGGAGTCATTTTGGTACAAAATTCATTTTATACTATAAATTAAAAGTCTACTTTTTATATTTTTGCCCAAAATATTGAATATCATTTATAAAATATTGTCATATTAATAACAATTGCAGACCTTGATTCTTATCTAGTACTTAAAGGTAGTTTTACATGTTCCTCTGTAGAATGAGGAGGGAGCTGTCCTCTTCTCCATGTTGTACTGAGGCACCTGTGAGGTAGGTCAAGGAGGAACCGTGCGAACCATCACTCCAACTTCAGTAACGTAGCCTCGAGTCTTCAGTGAACCCCAGGGGAAGATGTGAAAAGGGACCACCCTGTCCCCAGACCCTCACCATCCACTGACTATTTGGGCATCTATTCACCTATACCCCGCTAACTCTCTAATCTTTTGATGGCTTTGATGGCTCCTTCATTCATTCTGGCAACAAATATTTCTTGAGGACTCATCAGGCACCCATCACTGGGACAGCACAGCATAATGGTTACGGGAATGAACTCTCAGCTTTGGGCATAGGTTCAGATAAGGTTGTATTGCTTCTTGACCTAGATGTCAAAGGAGAAGTCTGGGTTGAAGGTATATATTCAAGATTTTGCAGCACGTATATGGTATTTAAAATCATGAAAACTAAAAGGACTTTGTCTTCCTCTGTATAGAATATTCTAACTTTTCCAGCACTCTCACATCTACGCCAAACATTAGCCAGAAAGGAGAATGAGTCTTAACAACGTAGTCTTTTACTCATTGTTATGTGTTCTTTAAAATAAATATTTTTAGTGTTTTAGTGAGTTTTTATTAATTTTATCAATTTGTAGACTAGCTATAGTTTATGAAAAGAGAAATTCAATTGTTTGTGGTTTCCAAAAGCTGTTTTCCTCTGGCCTGCTCTTCCTAGTAATGACCTTCCAATTCAGTAAGAGACTCTCTTTCCACCATTACAAATGACTCATTCTTTACGGCATTTTCCATGGTGGATTAAGCTACAAGCCCTATGTTAGTCCCCTACACCTTAGCACATTTGTTATCAGATCATCTAACTGCTGAGCCTTAAATCAATGACACATAATATGTAGGTCTTTTTAGGAAGTACGGGTGAAAGATAATTTAGACATGTTTTTCCATGTCTTCTCCCTAGCTGGAAACCTGCAAAACTGGAAGACATGAGCCATAATAATAGTGGATATCTAATAATAGTGGATATCCTGATATTCATATTTTCTCTAAGACCTTAGCCCCAGCTCTGAAGTTTCTCAGACTCCGAGAGTGGCAGGTGATGCAGCAGGCTGCACTGAGCAGAGAGCTAGGCTAGCATTTCGAAAGCAGATTCACAACAGCCAAGAGTCAGAGTCAAAGCCAAACAGAATCTCCCCCAGACTCCTCCTCGTCACTTCCCTCAGCGGCCATTTTTAGGTCTATTTAATTGATTTCATAGTGTGTTGACTGTTGTTAATAACTTACTTGCAAATTCTATAGATGTGTTGCTGTCTTTTGTTGTTCTATTTGGTGCTACCAGCTCAGATTTAGATGAGAATTAAATATTTGGGATTACTTTAAGGTAATAATAAAATAATTCAATATTTCCTGGGGGCTCATAGGGATGGTATGAAGAAGCTTTAGAACAGTTCGAAGAAATCAAGGAAAAGGATCATCAAGCAACTTACCAGCTAGGAGTAATGTATTATGATGGGCTGGGGACGACTCCAGACGCTGTAAGTGATTGTTTTCTTCACCATGCTTAAGATTTCACCGTTCACGGATTCTTTGATACAATTAAAATTATTTCTATTTTAATAATATATTTCTATCCTTATATTTCAATAATATCTAAACTTTTAGCATTTTAAAGGATAGCAGTAGTCATTTTCACATTATGTGAAAAACAAAATTTTTTTGCCCCCCTCCTTGCTACCATTAGCTGTCAATAACATTTCTGTTTTAAAATGTTTTCCTTTATTTTTAAAAGTTTATTCCAAAGCTACATGAACATGGAGAAAAGTTAGAAAATAAGCAAAAACAGGGTCACTCCAAATTCTACTAACAAATATAAACATTATTATTTTAAAGTATATTCTTTCGTGTCACCCTATGCAAAAAAATTATATATGTATTTGTATATATATTGTATATAAATTATATGTATGTGTATTTGTATATATATACACACATACATATATATACACAAATATATATACACACACACGTACATACACTTTTTCAATATAGGACCATACTATATATACTGTGTTGTAATATCTTTTCTTTCACCTAGCAATGTATTCTGAATGTTCTCCCTTGTCAATAAATATAATCTGCATTATCATTTTAATACCTGCATAATAATCTAGTGTATATCAATAATATTTCTAGGCCTCATTTATTTTGACATGTTTGAAGATAAAAGAATAAACTATGAAATTGAGGGATCAATATTATAGTTCTCTATTCTTTATGATTTTTATTTTTTAGTTCTTATTTTTGGCCTCATCTTACAAAGAAATTTCATACATTATCAAATAAAAATTGGGAATTTATTTTTAAAATTTTCAAAGATATTTAGAAATTCATTTCTCTGTGTTCACTAGCAAAGGTGTCCTATCCATTATGGTCTATTAAAAATTCCAAAATGTGAAAAGCTCATAAGCTTTCAAATCTTGGTTTCACCACTTATTAAGAGTATGATCTTGGGAAAATTACTTACTATTTCTGAACATCTACCATTTTCCCCACTCCCTTGGCTATGGCAGACCTTAATAATTGATCACGGTCCCCTTTCTAGCTGAGTCCAGACAGAGCCTCAGAATTCTTGTCAATACAAAGCTTTAAGGATACACTGCCAATTCAATCCACTGGAGTCAGCTTACAAAATAAAGCCCATTAACCTTACTCGCATAGTTGTTAATGAGACTGAACGACAACATATAAAAATACCTAACACAGGCACATGTAGTAAGCATCCAGTGTTTTCTCCCCTGACTTTCTCTTGTATAAAGCTAACAGATGGGGACTATACGTTTAATTCCTAAAATTCTTAATTTTTACTCTTTTATAACCATAGCATCCTATGATGAAATGAATGAACGATTTAAAAACTTAATGTTTGCATTAAACACAAGATACTTTATTTTAACCTATTCATAGCTTTACCTGTTAAAAGTTTAGTGACATGTGCAATCCATGACTACATTGCCCTTACTTGCTGCAAATTTAACAGTTGACCACGCGCTCCATGAAACACCCTCCTCTCTCAGTGTCTAGGGTGTCTTTGTTTCATCTGATTCTTTCTCATACTTGACACACCTCTTCTTACCATCTTCAATGTGTTTGTAATACAGTTCTCTCTGTTGGCCTCTTCACAGCCATTCCTCAGTCCCCTGTTCTAGATGCTTCTCTTCTAAATCTTGAAGTGTGTCAGAACCTAGGCCTCAGCCCCTTCTGCCTCCGTGGCCCCCTCTCTCCTTGAGTAAAGCTTATCTGGTCCCACGACTAACATTACTTATACTTTTAAAAGACTCCCAGATTGACGTCTTCATACCAGAACCTCATGCTGAGACCCATAGAGCCAACTGCCTGTCTCCCTCGCTGTTTAATATGCATCTTGCTGTCTGATTCCACCTCTAGTTCTACAAGTCTAAACACACACACACATCCTCCTGTTGAAGGCAGTGGAGTTTCTTTGTGCATAGTACCATTCACAGGGATTGCAGCCCTCCCTGGAACTGCCTCGAAGGACGCAAAAGCAGCTGGAAAAGCCATTTCTATTTTTAGCACTGTGAGCACCTCCTATATAACCCATGAGGTATGTGCTTACTCTGTGACCTTTCTGACCGTGGTTTACTTGGATTCTCTGTATTATTCACTCACTCTTTCATTCCACAAACATTTATGAGTCAGAAACAGTCCTTAGAGGCTGGAGAAGCACAGAAAAATAGGAAAAGGAATTTGGAGTCTGAGAAAGACTATAAGTGTCCTGGATTGAAATAGACACATGTGCCAGACACAAAGGTGTGGTCACAGGAGTTTTCACAGAGCAGCTGACACCAGCTGAATCAGATAACATAAGAACAGCACATAAAGGAAGGAATGACATTTACACAGAGGGAAGGACAGGAGCAAAGCTGGGAAACTCCTTCAGTGGCCTAGATTCCTCAGCTGTCTTTGCACATTTTAGTATACTGACTGAAATAATCTTGAAACTATTACCCCTTAACTGTGCTGTATATAAATTGGCAGCTAGGCGCTTGAAAGTCTTATGTATAGAAACCTGGACTAGAACAGTAATCTTAATACCAATTGTCCATCCATTTAACCACAGTCTTTGAGGCAGGTGCCATCTAATGTCTCTGACAATTATATCTTATGATATATACTAAATAATTAAAGTCATAAATGTAAATTAATATACTAATTTTATGAATCTTTTATGATCTTCAAATAGTAAAGCACATTTTAGGGGACAGTATTAAAATCCATTCTAGAAAATATTTTAAAACAAGATTAATCACAAGTAAGATGAATAGTTAAAGGCTGTAAGATTACTATGCTTATTATTTCACTGATTTACTCTGACATTTAAGTCTCAGGCAAAAAAAAAAAATCGGTCTCAAGTGATTCAGAATCTCCATGTTTGTTTTGCCTACAAATGCAGATGAAACTGAAAGTATCATAATTATTTTATTCAGTTGGTTTGCTTGGCCTGCTAGATTTTTAGGAGTCTCTTATTTTTATATCAATCTTAAGTCATTAAAAACTCAATGTGGTTCTTAAAAAAAATTGCCAAAAAAGTCTCAACACTTTTTCAGATATTTACTTTATCACCATGCTACTTGCTTCGTTAGTATTTATCTAGCTTTATTATAATGAGAGATTACAGATAGTGGGCTGCCAAAATTAATTGGGAATTAGATGGGTAGAGGGGGACCAAGAAAGATATTATGAGGGATGCAGTTATTTTTTCATGAAATAAGCTGAAACCAGAGCATGTTCATTACCAAGACACGTTTGCCATGAGACCTCCTAGGTCTCTCTCTCTGAGAATTGTTTTTGAAATATTGATTTTATAGTTATTTCTGCTTTCTAACTCAATGGTCCCCTATTTACATTTAAATGGTTTCATGGCTATACCATCACACAAATTATAGGATTATTTAACATGGAATATAGAAATAGGTCCTTGGAAAATGGTAATAATAGTAGGACAATATTCACAACTATACCCTTTAAAAATCTTTAAAATATCCACAATATAACCAGAAAGAATTGCAAAAACAGGGAAAAAATCAACAATTTAAATTTACTGAAGAAATAATAAATCCCCCAAAGCAATTTGGGATCAGTGGAAAATATTTTATGCACAAAAATAAAGTAAAGCATAAAGCCATAAAGAAGTATTTAATTTCTGACAGGGCCTAACCAGAAGAAATGCAATAGGAATTTAGATGACAATTGAACTCTAGTCTCAAAAAGTTAAGAAAACACATTTCGTCAATCAAATATGAGAAGATTGGGGAGAAACTGTAATGTAACACAACTTAAAATCGTGAAATCTTATCTTTAAAAATTTTACTTTTAAAAAGTAAAAGGAACATTGAAGACATTTACCAAAATTAACAATTATTCCCTAATACCATTTAATACCCAGTTTATATTCAAAATTCCCAATTTGTCCCAAAATTCTCTTTCAAGCCAGGATCCAGTCAGAGAGCACCCACTGCATTCAACTGTAATGTCTGCAAATTTCTTTTAGTCTAGATCAGTTCTTTCCCTCACCTTTCTTTTTTTCCATAATATCGCCTTTATTAGAAGTGACACTTCTGTGGTGCTTATGCTGAACTACTTCTTTTGCAGAGCACACTGAGATATTTAGGATGAACTGAGTCAGTATTTGCTTCTCTGCAGATAACTTCAAACAAGTCGGAAAAACCCAGATGAACCAAATACAGCAAAATATTATTACTGAAAATCCATATGGTAGTTATGCAAATTTTTATTGTATTTTTTCTACTTTCCTGCATGCTTGAAAATTTTTGTATAAAAAGTAAAAAAAAAAACTCAAGGAAACTCATAATTAGTGCAACCATGAGACAAATGTAAATTGTCTAAATTCTCCTGTTAAAACAGAGTAAATATGTACTTTACTTCAGAAAATGACATAGAAAAAATTTTTAAATGTCTCAACAAAGATGTTAAGAAAGTATGCATAGAAACACACATTGAAACTTAACGAGAAGTGACAATTATTTAGTAATAAGCTCTGTTCAATATGAAAAACATAATACAGAGCCTATATGAGCCAAATATCACATCAAACTACATAAAGGAAATGTGCTAAAAAAACAAATTGACAAAAATATTAATTAAATTCAACTTTAATTTCTGTATATGTTAGATAATTTTCACTATATGATAGGTAAATTTTATAAACTATGAAGCATCCACACAATAAAATTCTTAACATGAAATGTTAAGACTCCTTGATTGAGTTACGAAATTTGAACATTTTTACTATGCAGGTATGTTTAAGCACAAAGAAAATCACAATAAAACCTCACCCCCCAAAAAAAATAAGTTGTATGTGAAAACTCTATTCATTTCTTAAGATTTAAATAAAATGTATACAGTTTTCCCTTATGAAACCAATTTCGTGGGTTGTCAAAGAGCTTCAAAATTAACCCAAATATCTTTGGGTGGCTTATGATCTCACGATCACCTG